GAAAAATCCTGATTGTGGAGAATCTAAGTCGGGTAGATCTAATTCCGGGGAGATTCTGGTAGGGTCTAGGGAAGCATTCCGGCATCTATATAGGGTTGTGCGCACAGGACTTTGAGTGTGAGAGTCCCCAGCAGCCCTGACTGTGGCACCGGGAACGACCGACTAGGGTCGTGTTCGGAAGACATCAATTGACTGGGTAAAATGAAAAGGTCTGCGGAATCAAACGGATTGAGGGACTTGTCGGTAGAAGGATTGGTCCAGTCCGTATACATCCCTACAGGGGACTTGGGGGTGTTTGCGTCAAAGAATTGACCAGCGTCAGCCGCGTTTGGTTTGTCACCAAATTCGTGACGGGAATTGGGCTCGTCAGGCTCGGTGGCCGTGGTTTGGGTGGTGGTCTGCGCGTCTGTGTCGCCTTCGGCGTCTTGTGGCAGCACCATTGCAGATTCAGATCGCGGGGTTTGGACAGTTTTCTCCGTCGAGTTCGCCCGAGATGGCTTATTTGCTCGAGCTCGGATTCCTGGTACCTTCCCGACCCTGGATACTGCATAGACACACTCATACTGCAGGTTGCTACAGCGAGTGCAGCCGGTTCTTTCGCCGCTGCATCGTACCTGGGCAATCTTATCAGCATATCAAAACGAATGATGGGGACTAGATATCAAATACTATGGATTTAAAAGTTGTTTACCTTTGCTGCATGGCATTGGTTACAGGCCGACCGCCATCGCACGGGCTTTCCTGATGAATCTGGCCTGCAAGGGCAAGGTCAGCAAAAAGGAGATGAACGAGCTCAGGATAGAATGGGCTAACGAACCGCTCGGTCGTGGTGGTGGCGGTAGAAGACATATTCCTTATGATGGGAGATATGGCTGCGTGGCGTAGAGTGTTCCTTTTCTCTTATACAAGTGATTATAGCTTCTGATAGCTTCTTCGCCTACGGGGGGAGGACCCTTGGTAATTCTTATAGGACCGCAGGCCGAGGTCGTGAACCCGTTTTCTCGTCCGTTCGAAGACACCGATAAGGACGAAGGGAGGAAATCTCAGCCTGCGGCTGGAGATATCTTCCCCCAGCCAAAAATAAAGCACCGTCATTTGGTTCAGCCCTGCCAAAGATGGAGACGCAATCCTCCGAGGTCAGTCATGCTGCGTCTCGGGATGCATCATGGCAGCCAAGCAATGCCCTCCAGAACAATAATGGACCTGTCTAAGGGGTCCATCACACGGCCAGAGCCTGAGTAGTCATAATTAATGGCCAGCATGTTGAGCAACCCCCTTTCCCGGGTAGATCAGGATGGCCAGCGAGGCACCAGCCAAAAAAAAAAATAAGAAAAAAAAAAAAAAAAGCTGTATAGAGAACGAGGGGCATCCATAACACGTATCGAGCCACGCTGCACGCCCGCCGACCGCTCACCTTCGCATCCTCTCGCTGTCCTGGCGTTCCTGGCCGTCCCCTGCTGGCCGTTTGTTTTGCTGCGAGTTAAGCGAGAAATATGCAGAAGCTGAAGGCAGTCGTCAAGATTCCCCAAATAGGAAATCGGTGACTAAGCAGGCTAAACGTCGATCCTGAATTTCTTTTTTTCCAGCTTCAAATTTCAACTTCAACTTCAACTTCATCTCTCTTTGGTTCTTGGAGACGGCGTTGCTTCTGCTGCTAACTAGTTGACTAACGTGATACGCAGGCTACACTGTGAGATACATGAGGATGCATGTTTAACCTTGGTCCAGGAGCAGGGCTGTAGGCCGATTCAAAACGTTTACCGCCTACATGATCACCGGTTCAGTGATCGACCGGGCATCAAGCATTTACGAGAATACGCTGCGAGCAGGCTGCAATACGCTGAAAGTATGGTGGAAAAATGAAAATAGACTTGTCTTGCCTCATCTCTTCACTGATCTAAGCCGTCTCCTCGTCCCCAGATGCCTGCCCATATTGTATCATGGAGCCACCACATAGCCAGCATGGCGAAGCGGACTAGGGCCCGCACTGCAGGAGGAACGTGGCCGTCTTTGCCCGGCCCGGTGCGTGCAGTGGAGTGGGTGAGAGTGCTGAGCAGAGACATGACGGGAGTCCAGAAGGCCAGGAAGATAGCTGCCCCCATGCGCTCCCACGCTGTGGACGGCGGCTGATAGCAGGGATACTTTTGGCGAATACGCTCAATGTAGGATGGTGGAAAGTTCGCGGCCTGGGCCCCATCAAGAATAAGACCCTTGAAGGATCGAGAGCGGGGAGGCAGGAATGTTAGCTTATTTTGTGTTGATCGCCAGGACTTCGAGACGGAGAGAAAAGGAGGGAAGAAAGAAAATATGAGACTCACAAGATATCGTTCTGTGGGTCGAGCTTCCGGCCACCGTTCCATGGTACTGACCAGCGTCAAGACACGTATTTGATCCCCCCAGCGCTGGCGGTGGGCTGGATGGACTGGCTGCGCGGCCACCAGAGCCTCGTCGTAGGCAATTCCGCCCCCTTCTGAACCGATGATCTCTATCCATTGCGCCCACGTTATTAAGTAGGCCGTTCCACAGAGGACCTCGTCGTCGTCGACGCCGTTCTCCACTGCCTTCTCCGTCGCTGGCTTGTACTTGGTGATGGAGGCATAGCACGGCTCCCGGTATGGGAATCCTGCACTGGACATGGCCAGCCGCCAGCCAGCGACCTTAACGGCAACAGCCGCCCGCGGTGTCATGCCGCGATCTTCACGGAAGGTTTTGGCCGAAAGGTTCGATCCATAAGCCAAGTACCAGACCAGCCGCTCCTTCTCGGCCTCGGCCTTGGGCAGCGGCGAGGGCGATACAAACATCGCCGCAAAGGGGAATTTCCACGACTCAACCAACCAAAGGACAGGGGCAAAACAACCAAACAACGAAATGCTAAATGCTGACAGATTTATTACGTCGATTCGTTGTCTGTTACCTGCAGTCCTCTATTTTTCTTCCTTCCCTCTTACGGCGCTATTTCTATTCAAAAGGGAAGAGGGCGGCTGCGTAACCTTCGGAGACCGTGGGAGCTTGTTGATTGATAGCTAGCCTGTCCTTCGGTCACCGGGGGTAGCCTTATCACAACTGGATTGTATCGAAATGAAGGTAGGGTATCCAGGCGCGGCCGCGTGCGATTTTTGTTGTAGCTTTTCGTAGTTTTCCACCGTTTGCTGGTTTTCTTTCATCTCTCTGCTTCTCCTTCTTCCAACCGCACTCTTCTCTGCAAGTCCTCTCCCCCTTTATATCAGACACCTACACAAGAGCAGGCATGGAAGAGACGCGGTCCGCCGACGACGGCCAGCGTGGAGAGAAGCCGCCAACTACTCGCGGGACCCGGTTCTGGCTGGTATTTGTCTCGCTCTGCTTTGCATCCTTCGTTGCATCCCTGGACATAACAGCCACTACTGCCCTGCCAACAATCACCCGCGAGCTCCACGGCGAAGAAAACTATGTCTGGATCGCGAACTCGTATACGCTGGCGTCGGCCGTTGTCCAGCCTCTTACTGGGCAGGTCTCGAACATTATCGGCCGTCGAAACCCCATGATAGCCATGGTCTGCCTCTTCGCGCTGGGCAGCGGCCTCTGTGGTGGCGCGACCTCGACAGCCATGATGATCGCTGGAAGAACAATCCAGGGGCTCGGTGCTGGCGGCATTCTGCTTCTCCTAGATGTTATCGTAAGCGACCTTGTTCCCCTCCGCCAGCGAGCTCAGTATGTTGGTATTGCACTCTCTACCTGCGCGCTGGGAACATCCTTGGGACCATTGATAGGGGGCGTCCTAGTCGAGCATGCTAGTTGGAGATGGGTTTTCTACATTAACCTTCCATTTTCGGCCTTGGCCCTGATATCACTTGTTCTCTGCCTCAGAGTCCAGCACCAACGAGAAGCAACATGGAAACGAGCTTTAGCTCGCGTCGATTGGATTGGAAATACCATCTTCATTGTCGCTATCTGTGCTATTATGTACGCCCTAGTCATTGGTGGTGCCATTTATCCATGGTCCTCCTACCGTGTTCTCGTCCCCCTTATCCTAGGAGTTGTTGGATGGGCTCTATTCCATATCTTTGAAGCATCCCCTTACTGCCTGGAACCCACCATGCCCCCTCGTTTATTCCGGAACAGGACCTCGATGGGTGCATACGTCCTCTCCTTTCTTGGAGCGATGTTGATGCAGTGGATAGTCTATTTTCTAGCCTTCTTCTTCCAGTCCGTTATGAGCCAATCCACCACCATGTCGGGAGTTTCGGTCATACCCTTCACTGGGTTTCTTATACCATCCGCCATCCTAGGGGGTGTCATCATATCCAAAACAGGAGCCTATCGCCCCTTACATTGGGCTGGATTTGCCATCATCTCCATTTGCATGGGGCTCTTCAGTACCTGGTCTGTTCGCACCTCTCGTGCTGAATGGGTCACCCTACAGTGCCTCGTAGGTATTGGCAATGGCTTCCTGCTAACTAGTATTCTCCCTGCAATTCAAGGAGCACTTCCGGAATCAGACAATGCCACGGCAACTTCTGCCTATGCTTTTCTTCGAAGCTTTGGTTTCGTCTGGGGTGTTGCTATCCCAGCTGTTGTTTTCAATGGTCAAGTCGATCGCTTCCTGGGTAAGGTCGGTGATCCAGCCCTACGTGACAAGCTCGCCCGCGGCGGCGCATATTCTCTAGTAGGAACTTCATTTTTTGAAGGTCTAGGGTCCGAAAAGGGTGCAGTACAATCGGTTTACACAGACAGTCTGAGAACAGTATGGCAGGTTGGCATGGCCTTTGGATTGCTTGGTTTTGTCCTTGTCGGGGTCCAGAAACATATTGAGTTACGTACCACTCTGGAGACCGACTTTGGACTAGAAGAGACTCCCCAGCAAAGAGATACAACAGCAGAAGATGGAGCTGCCACAACGAACGAACCAACGGAGGCAACAACCTCAAAGGCCCAGTGAGGTTTCAAACCTTGTACAGATGAACCATCATGACTATCTTCTCGTGTTCTTTTATGAAGATAGCACTATTTCACATATTAGATCCATCCATTACGTTTTAAGCCACTGCATGTCATGATTTAGGCGACGTCGATCGGAACTATTATTTAATAATTCTCCCCTTTCTCGCATACAGGTCTATTCCGAACTTGATTGTACATACGAAATCCAGTCAAATAGAAGGAGACACCATGCATTTTAATACTTCAAGAAGCATCAATGAAGAAAAGAACAAAATATAGAATTGGACATATTAAAACAGGGTAAAGAATGAGATTATTCAGGGAATATCAGCAAATTTCCATCATTCTCACTGTCGGCCTTGACTTTTGCCTTCGTCTGCTTCTCCCACATTTGGCTATACATCCCATTTGCAGACAGCAGTTCGGTATGGGTACCCTTCTCGACAACACGTCCTTGGTGTAGAACGATGATCTGATCTGCCTTAGTGATCGTAGACAGTCGGTGACTGGGGTAGAAAAGATTAGATTCCGTATCTCGAGTAAAAAGTTGCAGTTACTTACGCAATGGTGATGCTTGTTCGGCCTTTGGCTATTTTCTCAAGAGCCCCTTGGATCTGACGCTCCGTCTGGGAGTCTAGCGAAGCCGTAGCTTCGTCAAGGAGCAGTATTTGAGGAGATCTAAGGAAGGTCCTTGCAATAGTTATCTGCCAAGGTCAGTCAGGTACGAGTCCTAAGTAGATACTTATGTTAATAACTTACTCTTTGCTTCTCTCCACCGGAAAGCCGCAGCCCTCGTTCACCAACTTTTGTCTCATAGCCATCTGGGAAGCTTATTATCCGATCATGGATACTAGCAGCCCTGCAGGCTTCGTATACCTGTTCCATAGTTGCTTCTGGTCGTGCGTATAACAGGTTATAGAGCACAGTGTCGTTGAAGAGGATTGCATCTTGTGGTACAACACCCAAATGGCTGCGTAGACTTGCAATGGTCATATCACGAACGTCCATGCCGTCCACTTGGACAGACCCCCCTGCAACGTCGTAAAATCGGAACAGCAGCTTTAAGATAGTGGATTTCCCGCTACCACTTTCTCCAACTATTGCGGTTGAAGTGCCAGGCTCCACGACAAAGCTAACATCTCGAAGCGCCGGGCGGCGTTCATCATAGGCAAAATTGATATTTTTGAATTCTACTTTGCCTTTGCAGTAGTTTAGCGGCATAGCATTGTCCCCGTCCTGAATCAGGGGCTTCTCCTTGAACTGTATTGAAGTTAGCATTAGTACTGTCTCCGCGGTCATTACTAGACTTACTAGAGCCAACATTCGTTCTGCATCAATCAGATTGTTCTGAACTTGCGTGTAAAAGCTTCCAAAGAAGTTTAGAGGAGCTTGCAACTGAGCCAGATATGTGATCAAAGTAACAAACATAGAAACTTTCTGCATATCAGCGGATATCTGATAAGCACATAGTAGACAGACGATGGCAACCCCTGCTGTAAATAGCAGGTTCTGGGTAGCATTCAGCATGTTTAGGGAAAAGAATACAAAGTACTCAGCGCCCTGGAAGGATTTGATCAGTCCATTGAATCGGCTGAGTTCATTGGGAACTGCTGAATTGTGGTGAACCGTTTCGTAAGACATTAGAGCATCCGTCCTACCAGGCATTTGTTAGATCCTGCAGTTCAATGATTGTAGAAAAGGATTAATATCTTACTTTGCAGCTTCCATTTCACGTTCACGGTTTACCATCTCACGTCTTGCTCGGCCACGGTATTTTGCCATGTAGATAGTGACGAATAGATATAGCCAGGTAACGGAGATGACAATCAAAGCATAAAAGGCACCAAATTCAATCAAGAAGTACAAAGCGGCAATCCACAAGTCAGCCACCATGGGGAACAGCTGGAATATCAGGCCGTCCAAAAATGTATTCAAGGCACTCCCTTTGCTTAGTGCGCTCATGACCTCGCCGATCCGCTTGCCAAGATGGAATTCAAGGGAGAGGGAGAGGACATGTTCAAATGCTGAAGATGTGAGCCTCCTATATGTTGACTGGCTGACACTGATCCACAGAAGGGCTCTAATGGATCCAATAACACCTTGCTGACCCTGTAATCCCCTCAAGACGAGATAGATTGCAAGCTGCTTGTAAGGAATTGTACCAGACCCAAGGGAGGCAACGACGAAACCTAACTGGCGTGGCACCAAGATATTGACTATGCGTTGAAGAATCAAAAGGAAAAAGCAAAATACTGCACGAAGCTGCAATCTCCGTGAGTCTGATGGCCTTTAGGTGTTTTCATTAGCATGATGAGGAAAATTGAGAGAGCTGTTTGGGGGGTTGGCTATCACTGACCAGAGGTATGGAAAGAGGGTGCTAAAGCCGACAACGTAGTCCAGCCATCCTCCATGCTGCGCATCACGTACTGGCTTCGCAGCAATTTCGCCTAGCAGAGGGTCGGTCTCACCAAGTTTGATATGGGACCACGCATACATAGGTTGGAGATAGATAGCTGCCATGGCGACAAAGAATCCAATTCTAAGCATAAGCAGACCTAGTTGAACACTTTCCATCCCGGAGTTAACAGGATCTTTTCCAAATTGGAAGCAGAACATGGCAATTTGAAGTGCCTCTGTGACTGCGGCAAGTATCCATGCATGGGCGTGAGATAGGGACGGAGAGAACGGCTCATCGGGGTCTGGTAGTAGCCCAGCAACAAGAAACATTATGACCGCGATATTCGATGCCTAATAATGTTAGATTATCAAAGAGAAGCAGTAGGAGGTGGGTTAGGTACCATATATTCCTTATTAATCCACCATGCTTCTGACTTGAAGCCCTTGCTGAGGTGAAGGCCAATGATGCCTATGAATATTACCTAGAAAGCGTTAGAACCTCTATCCAGCACTTGAGATTGTATATTTTAACAGACCAGATTGACACATTGCAGCAATTGAAGCCAGAATATGGCAGTGAAGGCCGTTTTACGGGTCTTCTTGTACCATGGTGTTGCGGCGCCTTCTTCCTTCTTTTGCCAGAGGGCGATGGCGAGCCTAGAAAAGAGGTATGATAGATAGATGGAAGCTGGATAGGCCCAGCACAACGCCAGGGTGAGAGTGGCCACTTGCATTTTCAGATGTGTATATTCTTGAAGCCTGTAGAGAAGCTTGACTTCCCAATATTTTCGAGGGGAGAGTCCGTTTTGATAGCTTCAGGGGTATGCTGTTCGGTAGCCGAGAGGCCTCCGGGGAGCCACCGCTCGGCCCCTGAAGAATGGATATATGATGGGATGTTACCAGCATATCTGAGGCTGTGAGAAAAGCATAAACAAGTGCAAAAATAGCGAATCATCGAATAAAATGGCTGGGGCAGGACTATCGAAGCGCGGTGCGGCTAATGTCGACAGGATCATGCCGGGGATAAGTGCTGCTTTGCTCGAAAGAACGAAGCCCACTGCTCCCCGTATTGATCTCTCCACTGCCGAGAACTGGCTGCTGCGAGACGAGATCATCGAATTAACCAAAGATGGCATACGAGATGGACTGAAGCCTCATGTACGATGTCTGAAAGTATCCAACGTGTGGTTGTTGTGGTTGTTTCTAACCCCTTTACTAGCATCTCTCGTATCCCAACGAATTTGCGGGTGACGCCGACCTTATCAAGGCTCTGGTAGCTTTCTTTAATGAATACTTCCATCCTCATATCCCCGTTGAGCCTGACCATGTTGCAACCGCGCCAGGAGCAGCGACTTGTCTTAATACTTTTCTCTACAACACCTGCGAGCCGGGAGAAGGAGTCCTCGTACCCGCCCCTTTTTGGAGTAAGTCCTCCTGGGAGGAAAGAAAAGGGGGGAAGATAAGAAGAGAAAACCGTCCTAACAGCTTGAATAGATGGATTCGACTGGCTTTTCACTGCCCGGTCGTCTGCAGTGCCGGTAATGGTTCATGTCGAGAAGAGTGAAGATACCCTCACTGCTCAACTGATCCCGGCCCTTGAAAAGGCGTACAGCGAGTCCAAAATCCCAATTCGAGGTCTTTTACTCACTAACCCGCATAATCCCTTTGGACAGTGTTATCCAAAGTCTGTACTGGAGGACTGCATCAAATTCTGTCATGGCAAAGGTATTCATTACATTTCAGACGAGGTCTATGCGCTCTCGTCATTTGAGAATCCTGAGATCCCAGACGCTGCGCCTTTTGTGTCTGCACTCCAAATCGATGTAGCCGGGCTCGGCTGCGATCTTTCGCGAGTTCACACCTTCTGGAGTACCAGTAAGGACTTTGGTTCAAATGGATTCCGGGTGGTTAGTACTCCGTTTGCCACTTGCTTTGATTGTGGCCGTTGGTCTAACAGCTGGATAGGGGTGCAGCGTAACCCAGGCGAATAAGGAGATGCATGTTGCCCTCGCTCTAGCTTCCAACACAGAGACAAGCAGCCTTGCAGCAGTCGCTTCAACAGCACTTCTCACATCACCGAAGCTGCCAGATCTTCTACAGTTGAACTCCCAGCGCCTGAAGGAGGCATATATCATCATCACAGGCTTCTTTAAGAGAAAGGGTATTCGCTACATTCCTGTGAATTCAGCGCCTTATGTGTTTGCACGACTGGTGCCGAACGCGCAATCCTGGGAGGAAGAAAGCTTTATGATCGGTCAGTTAAAGCTAGCTGGTGTCGTCGTTAGCAGCGGCAAGGCGTACCATGTTAATGAAGAAGAGAAAGGATGGTGCAGGATGACATTTGCGCTTGAGAGATCCAGGTTGGAGGAAGCCATTAAGCGCATGGAGACTGTCATCGGCCAACAGGAACGTAATTAGTTCGGTAGCCGGCCGGAGAGTCCCTTATACGATATCATTAGATATATAAATCATAACATTCAGTATGTTTCGCTTGATATCCTCCGTACATCTATCTGCAAGGATACCCTTTGCCCACGATGGGAGCTCTTAGAAATAAAGATCTGCACCCGGCAAACGGCTCAATCATTCCACATCTGCTACTCCTAGCAGCGCAGTTATTGATTCTCGCCGGCCCTCGTCAGCTCCCCGGAAGCCGAATAGTAGCTGCGACGGTAATTCTCACGCTGGCAGTGGCAGCCCAATGCAATCGATTTACCAACAACCCAGGACTTGCCAACCTCTTTGCCCTGGCGTGGCCTCACTGGCTCTCGGCTTTGGAAAAGACCGTTTTTGCATCCCCAGGAGGACCCGAAAATGATCTATGGAGAATAGACCGGGCCACTAGAGAAGCTATTGCATGGCCAGCTCTGAGTTGGAGGAAGATAAAATGGGCAGTGACTATTGTGCTGAATCTCAGGGGTATCAGGTGGAGCTACCAGGTCAAAAATGTTCCTCCGGTTGCAGGTTTGGACCGTATGAGCCGTGCACGGTTCCTGATATGGCGTCTTACTGAGTTCGCCTTGGTTATACTGATGGCGGACCTGGTTTCACAGATGGGCCGCCGTCTCTTCTTCAGCAATGCCCCTGGCGTTGTGGGAACTCTGGACTCCAAGTATATCACTGTCAGCGACCATCGACTGGGATGGAGCTTCCTGAAGGCCTTGACTTTTGACTGGGACCATACTACTTTATCAACATGCATATCTGTGTTGTCCTCCATTGGTGGCTGTAGCGTTGGGTATCAGTCGACCATCCAGTGACGTCTCAGCCCGTTATATGGGAGGCAAAATATATATACACTGATGCTGACGATAACTTAACATAACAGGACTGGCCACCGCTGTTTGGTAAATTGAAAGAAGCCACCACTATGAGAAACTTCTGGGGTATATTCTGGCATCAAATGCTACGCAGGGTTCGTCTTTTCAGCGTCCTCTTCATGGCCGAACAGACAGCTGACAAGCCAAAAAGTCTCTTAGCACGATCACCGGCGCCTTTGTCGATGCTGTAGGCATCCACCGGGGCACAAACGCATCCTCCTACACCCAGCTTTGGCTGGCCTTCACCATTTCGGGTGTGATGCATGCTCTTTCACAGTTGTTGATGCCTCGACCGGCAAACATCACACCCGGCGAGATTGTTATTGGCATCTTCCTCTTCTTCCCTTGTCAGGCGGCGATGATCACGGCTGAGGACTTCGTCATCTGGCTGTGGAAGAAGCGTCTCGGCCTGCAGACGCCACGATGGGCGCCGGCCGTGGGCTATGTCTGGGTTGTCTGCGCTCTCTGGTTCTCGCTCCCCTTTGCGGGCGATGCCATGGTCCGTCTGAAGATGGGAGAGGTGTCTCCGCTGCCCTTTACGCTGGCGGCTCCTCTAGTCCGCATGATCCCGGTTCCATAACTTGATTAGATCTCCAGAAAGTGGTTACTTATGGAGGATTTAGTGATGTTTTGCCTGGTCGAGGCGTGTTTCCAGTCAACTAGATGATTTGGATATTTAGGCTGCATCCTTCGTTGATACTCAAAATTAGCCCCTTTTAACCAAGTTACCCTTGTTTCAAGTCCTTCCATTTGGCCACAAATTTTTTTTTTGAAGATAAACTACAACAATTCTTTTTTGCATAAATAACTAGCCATTTAAGTTGATGCTAATTTCTATTCTAAGTTCTGCTGCGGATCAAGATCTCGGTCTCCGGGGCCGCCATCATCTGGGCCTCAATTGCAAAATCCTCCGGACGGTCTCCAGCGGGACGAGGCTGCGCCCAGTCGAAATCGTAGCCCATCAGGAGCTTTCCGAGAACCAGCTTGATCTTGCGGACGGCGTAGAATCGTCCTGGACAGGCATGGTTGCCGTAGCCAAACCTGTGGAGAGGACATCAGCCTACAATCAACCCTTCAGACCCGAGGACAAGTTACACAACTTACTGAAGGAATTTTTGGTCGATGGTAGATGCCAGCCATCGATGGCTTTCTCCTTGTTTCTGTCGATATCGGGCAAACCTGAATCCGTCGAATCGGTGGGCGTCTTCGTAGTTGTCCGGGTCATAGTGGACAGCCAGAGCTGGTGCAATGATGTTCGTGCCCCTGGGCAGAGTCAGGCCATCGTGGAATCTGAACTGCTCGTCCATCACTGTTCGAGCCACCGTCACTATGCGAGCCGTCAGCATGCTCGATGATACCATAAGATTCGGTAATTACTCACAAGAGCCAGCGGGATGCATTCTCATGGTCTCACGGATGAAACTGTCCATTAACGCCATCTGCGAGAGGGCTTTATCGGTCCATCCTCCATGTCTGTCGATGACAGTAGCAATCTCCTGACGGATAGGCTCGAGATGCTCGCGGTATGCGAGAATGTTGATCAGACACTGCGTAACTCCTACACCGGAGGCGCTGCTCGCTGCAAATGTAAGGTGAAGCATATGATATGCCTGGTGCAGAGGCTCATCGTCCCCAGGGAAAGAAGGTGGCGTGTCGAGTGTCCATTGCAGGGCGTCTTGATATTTAGAAGACGCTTCTTTATCCTGAAGACGGGCATGTATATGGGGGAGAAGCAGCTTTGCAGCAGCATCTCGATCCCTGAGATGGAACCAAATGGTAAGCCTGGCGACGAGTTTCCGTAGCGGTCCCAGATTGATGAAATTCCAGAAGATACCGTGCAGGAAGAGTGATCGAGAGAACCGGGTTGTGATCGAGAGATACTCTTCATCCCGACAGAGCTCTTTGCCAACGAGGATCCGGTTCGTTGTTCGATGGACAATGGAAGCAACAATGTTAGAAACATTGAATTTCTTCCAGTCTGTATCGTCGTTAGCATTTGAATGGTTTGTTCGGTAGATATGGAAGTCTTGCCAGAAACTACCCCTATCTCCTTGTCTATCGCGAAACCTGCCTCTTCGGCCAAAAGGGGGGTCAATTTCGCTGTGAAGCATTAGCATACTCCCATATAATCAGTTAACTCAGCGATCAGACGTACTGAGTTGGGGATTCAAATGCTTTACTACGACGTCGATCTCCGTTGTGCTGGTGTAGAGATGGCCAACAGAGGCCTCCATATTGAGCCCCTGAACAGGACATATTTAGCCCGCAAGTCCAGAAACTTTGGGCAGGTAAAAACATACATCACTGAGGGCCTGGAAGAAGCTCAAGCTCTTTGGGCTCGCTCGTTTGATGTCTTCAAGGTATTTTGACGGAAGAACGACGTATTCATGGCCGAACACCGTCGTAGCAAAGGGCTTTCCCAGCGCTTTATTGAACTATTGGCCATCATCAGTGATTTGAATTAATAGTCGATATGAATAGAGTGCAGTCTGACCCTCTCGTATCCTATCTTCGCATATTTAGGAAGATCAAAGCGAGTTGACTTTTGCCAGCTGAAAAAGGTCCAAAGTCGCGATTTGCCCAGGCGTGTGAATCCGAGATGGGTGCTTTTACCCCTGAGCAAGACGGCAACAATGACAAACAGCCCGAACAAGAGAGACGTGGATAGAGGGTCGGATAGATGCATTTTTGTGGAATAGTAGATTGAATGAATTACGTTTAACAAATAATCTAGTTACTAAATGGGGGTTTAATGTATCTTGTATTTATTAACAGCCTGCGATCTAGTTCGGACGCCGAAGCCCTACATAGCAACAGCCGAAGGATATAACGCATCTCAGGCTGCAGGATTCACAGGTTTCGACCAATTCTCAGCGTTTACTTGCATCTGGACACCGCCGGCGGCAAAGGCACCCATGACAACGGCCTGGGTGCCGATTTTAAACTGCGAACCTGCATCACCGGCGACAAATACCCCGGGCACGCTGGTCTCGTTGAACGGGAAATTTGTCTTGATATGGCCTTCGGGAGTCATTTCGACGCCTAACTGCCCTGCAAATGGCCCACGGGCTTTGGTCAACGGCCGGTGGACGACTATGCCAACTGTCTCTGAGGTGCCGTCGGTAAAGTGAATGTCTAGAGATCGCTTGGGCTGATTCTGAACCAGTTTTGAGAAACTGCGGGCTTCGACCTGGAAACCGCAGGGTCCTAGAGCAGACTGAATCTCATCTGCGAGCTCAGCGTTACCGTTTGTGTAGATGGTGACGTTGGTGGACAGATTTCGGGCCTGGAAAGCAAGGTGTTTGGCAGCATGTAGATTGGCATCTCCATCAATGGCAAAGACGCCGGCCTTTGCACATCCTCTCTCTTCGTAGCCACGGTGAACTAGGCAGTGGACACTATTGCATGTTAGTGGCAATTGGTAAAGATACAGACAACGATAACTTACATTCCCTTGGTCCAGCATTCGTCAAATCCAAGGATCTTGGGAAGCTGATCTTCCACCCCCATGGCCAGAATCACCTTCTTCCCTAGCCAGGAACGCTGCTTGTCGTCCCAAACGCAGAACTTGCCCTCGTTTGGCCCTTCGGTGAGCTTTGTCACCTTTTCAAGCTTGACATCTGCAAACTCGACGGTGTTGTATTTGGACTGGATGTTGAGTATGGTTTGTTCGCGGAAGCGTTTCGGATCCTGGCTGTCCCATGTAGGAATCGTAGCTAGATGGGGAGCCTGGTCGTTGCGGTGGATGCCTTGATCGAACACAACCGCGGTGTGCAGTGTACGGACAAGACTGAGGGCTGCGGAGAGGCCTGCCATGCCTCCGCCGATGATGAGGCAGTCATAGAGGGGGGTATCTTGAGCAGCCATGGTGGTAGACGCTTGTATTGCAGTTAGCCAGTGCTGTAGTGTGTCTTCCAGCCTGCTCTACGGCATGGAGGGCGTAATATAGACCCGTACATCAAAGACCGGCCACCGATCGGCTTCCCAGGACCAGATGCTAGAAGCCCCCGAAGCCGACGAGGAGACATACAAAAACATGAACATATTCCGTAGTTTCTTGAGCTGATAAACTCCATTAACTACTTGATCAACAGTATTTTTTTGTCTCCATTATCCACAGACACAATGGCGGCCCAGTATCCAGCTCAGATGAACTTCCTCGCTCCTCGCAAGCCAGAGGATGGGCCTACCTTCTACCGATCCGCAGCCGCAGAGGGATTTGAGACCAGCAACTTCCATCAAGAGCCGTATAGCGTCACTGTAACGGATGCCCGGCCACAGAGAGATTCCTTCCAGCTAGACACCCACGGGTTTGCCTTCGCCGTGGACCCAGAGGGCAGCCAGCCAGAGGTGTTGGAGGCCATCCGCGCAGGCGACAAGGAGACCGTCCAGAAGCTCTACTACCCGCTGGTTGAGAAGCTGATCAAAGATCACACCGGAGCATCAAGGGTATTCATATTTGACCATACCGTCCGACGCCGGGAGGCCTCTTTGGCAGGCAAGAATCCCAACGGCCGTGAGCAGCCTGCGGGCACAGTAAGTGTTTCTATCTGATATCAGACGTTCATCGATCCAGGCTGACTTGAAGCAGGTCCACTGTGACCAGTGAGTAGAGTAGATGGACAGCCCTCGCAGACAGTATCAAGGTATTAATTGAGTCTATCACAGGTCTCCTCTCGGTGCTCGCAGGCGAGTCTACCAGCATCTCCCCGAGGAGGCAGACGAGCTGCTCAAGGGGCGGGCTCGAATCGTCAAGTGTGTACCCCCCTGGGCATTTTTCAGGGGCAAGCCAAACTGATATAATCGGTAAATAGTGTCTGGCGCCCGCTAAAGGGCCCTGTCCTCGACTGGCCGCTGGCTGTGATGGACTGCACGACGCTGCAGAAGGCCGATATACATCCGACGAAGCTCTATCGCGGCCGCTTCGAGCTGCGCGGCGAGACGGTCAGCATCAGCCACAACGCCGGACAGCACTGGTACTATCTCGACAGGCAGCAGACGGACGAGATCACCATGATCAAGATCTGGGACAGCAAGGACGTTGCCGGACACAGTGAGTTCTTTTTCTGTCTGTTCTTTTGCACCGGCTGACGTGAATTCAGTGTGCGCTCACTGCGCCTTTCAGCATCCCGAGACCCCTGAAAACGCTCCGTTGCGCGAGAGTGTCGAAGTGAGATGTTTGATATTCAGCGACGAGTAGATTTATTCGCAGAAGTCGTATGTTAGATACAATATTATGAATTCTTTTTTGGCATAAGTGATGATATTTGATCTTGTTGTCTTTGACTTGGAAATCTCGTAGTTAAAGAAGATCCACCAGCCACCCCCTGAAAGCACTGCAACATAGCTAATTAGCTAGGAATTTAGTTAAACACTTTAGTTAAGGAAGCGGTTAGTTAAAGAGTTTAGTTGAAGATTCAGTTCAGTTGAAGGTTGCGATCAACAAGTACTCCTCGTAACTGATTTATTGGTTCATTATTTTGTATGCGTGAATATTCTACTCTATAACCAGGCTATCATGCCTTCTCGTCGAATGCAATCTGGGATACGACGCCCACCGCGGCGAGAGATCCATGGCTCATCGACATGCTGGCGGCCTTGATGGGCATGCCGCAGTCACCGGTAGCAAAGCAGCCGCGGGTGGTCGTCTCGCTGAAGGGCTGCGTAGTCTTGAACTCGGTGCCCTGGGGAGACAGCTCCAGGTTGAGATTATGTTCGAACCCGAGCACGGGGGTCGTCTTCATCGCGTGGACGAGGAAGCCTTCTGTCTTGTTGGTCCCGTCCTGCATCTCGACCTTGACGGGGATGCCGTCCGTCTTGTGCAGCTGCTTCAGGGGCCGGTTGTCCAGGCTGAGCCACTGGTCCTTCTCGACGGCCGGGCGGAGCTGCTCGGCCAGCTCGTCGTTCGCGTTCGTATAGATAGTGACCGTCTTCGCCAGGTTGTGTGCCAGCCGCGCGAGATGCTCAGCGGGCTTGGGGTTGCCCGTCGGTCCGATGGCCAGGACGCCCACGGAGTCGGCGCCTCGCTCTTCGAAGCCGTGGCAGAAGAGACAGTGGTAGCTCAACAGCCGGTTAGCACAGAACAGCATCTCGCAACGGAGGGGGCCTCCACGTACATCGATTTGGGCCAGCAGTCGGCGTATCCAGGCAGGTCTGGGATCTCGTCCTTGACGCCCGTCGCCAGCACCAGCTTGCGGCCTCTCCAGACCTTCCCGGCGGCGTCGGTGGCCTCGAATTCGCCCGAGTCCAGCTGCAACACCTTGCGCAGGGCGACATCCGCCAGCGTGACGGTGTTGTAGCGGCCCTCGGTGAGCTCGCGGCGGGCAGCAGCGCGGTAGTCCCGGGGCTGCGAGTGGTCCCAGGTCGAGACGTTGTGCATATGCTCCGTCAGGCTGTTGCGGTAGGCCTGCGAGTCGAAGACGACGGCGGTGCGGACGGCGCGGCAGAGGCCCAGAGCAGCTGCGAGGCCGGCTGGGCCGCCGCCGACGATGAGACAGTCAAAGAGAGCGGCCATTGCTATTATTTTGAAGCTGGAGATCGTGAGTACGTGAATATATCGTGGGTTGTTGAGAGCTGGAGAGCGCCGGCAAGGGCGTTGGGCGCCTTTTATAGGGATTACGCTGATATCACGATGCGGCTCCAGCTTCAACTTCACCACCGGCGGCCGACGCGGGGAGCAAAAGCACCAAAGAGTATAAAGAAGACGGAGAAAAAGAAAAAGGCCGACATGGGAGGTCGAGAGCCAGTTAAATCTCGCCGGCCTATGCATGGCAGCTAACAGCTACTATCTATGGAGTTGGATGTCTATCTATGATGTGCTCGGTATCCTGATGGCATCGCATTCAGGGGCAGCTCTCCTCCTCGTACGCCAGATTCTTCCACCTCCCGCGCTCCAGACGGGCTGCTACGGCCGCTGCGACTCCCTCGCCCATCGCCAGGGCCTTGAGGAGCGTCCGCTGGCCCAGAGATGCGCAGTCGCCGCCGGCATATACCCCGTCCATGCTCGTCATGTAAGGGACCCGCGCTGAGATGCGTATAGCCCCTGACTCGGTCAGCTCGAGTCGCAGCTGGCGGGCAAAGGGGTCGTTGCCCTTGAGCTGTGCGGCCCGGCGGTGATAGAGGAGCGCCTTTTCACTCTTCCCGCCGTCGAGCTGGACGGTGACGCCGTGGGGTGAGTCGGCGTCCGGCTGGATCTCCTGGATGTACGCGGATTCGACGGTGATCGCTGCATCGGGGGACACTCGAGACAGCAGCTCCTGGGCCAGCTCGGGGTCTCCATGTGTGTAGACCCGTACAGCAGAGGCATACTGGCGGATCTGCCAGACGGCGTGGAGGGCCATGGTCAGCTCAGCCAGGTCGCCCACGGCCAGGACGGCGACGGGGACCCGGCCGTGCTTCCCTTCAGATGGATGCATCAGTCTAGTTTGGTCAGTATACAGGGCAGTGGATTACGATATGAAGACGATGATGAGAGAGGTAGAGGCATACATTCGTTGCTGCTGCCAGCAGGTTTGATACCCAGCAATATCAGGCATGACTTCTTCTGCACCGTCAGCCAGGATAAGGAGTCTGCCGGGCCAGACATTCCCCCCGGCATCTTCCGCCTCGAACAGACCGTTTGGTAGGCGCCTCACTTCTGTTATTCTCTTTCTCTCGACTGTGACCGGCAGTGTTTTGCTCGTTTCTTGCTGGAATAGGTTGAAGAGCTCGCGGTTCTTAAGCACGGCCGGCAGTGAGGATTCCCCTACTTCACTACCGGGACTGGAGACAGGCTTATCTCCAACAAAAAGAGTCACTCGGTGGTGCGCTTTGCCTAGCTCCCATGCTGCATTCGAGCCTGCAGGTCCGCCGCCAATGATCAAAACATCCGCTGGTAACTCCGATTCATCCATGATATCCAATATCAGAACGCCTGCCCTTCTTCCTTTTTTCCCTCCCTAGGAAATTGGCCCTTTTAACCAGTCTTATCAGTTATATGGCCAGCTACGCTCTCCTTTTGCCCCATGGCGCTTCGGTCTCCGGTGCATCGCCGAAGGGATCCAGCAGCCGTACACCTGGCAGGAAAAGGAAGACTATATTTTGGCCGGCTCGGTGCCTCCTAATCAGTTGATTTGATCAGACCTCAACAATCAGCATCACATACCACACTAACCATGGTTGCAATCACCAATCCCGCAATAACGGCCGTTGAGCGATCCTCCCTTGAATCTACTCTAAAGACCTTGATCAGCCAGGTCGAAGCAACTCGGAATGCTCTTCTGCAAAATGGCCAAAGGGGCTTGCTTCAAACCCTCCACACAGACAAAGATCTGCCAGACTCTGCTGTTGAGGCCCTCGCAGGCAAGGCCATCAACATCCTACACGAGACTAAACAGCTCCTTGAACCTGGCCATCTAGTCCTCGCCGACCACTTCCTGGGTAAGTCACTCATCTCTATTCATATTTCTTTCCAAGTGCCAACCTTTCGTAGGATACGTCAGCACCAAGTGCCTTTGTGCTGCCGTTGAGCTGAAACTCGTTGATATCCTTGCAAATGCCGGAGAAGAAGGCTTGACTATAGCCGAGCTGGCAGATGCTAGTGAAGCAAACCCAGACAGACTGCAACAGATCATGCACGTCTTACACAACAACCATATCTTTGAGTACGACCCAGCGTCGCATCGGTACCGCAATAACCGTATCTCAGCCCTCCTCCATACCACCCATTGGACACAGTGGCACAACTGGGTCGACCTCTACGGCAACGAGTTTTATGACATTGCTCGAGGAATACCCCAGTCCATTCGCCGTGACGAGAAGAAATGGGGAGCCCAAATCAACTTCAATACCTCCGATGATATGTTCACCTACTTCCAGGCACAAGGCTGGTTGCCACGCCTTCATAGAACCCTCGGTGGAGGTGCTATCGCCCAAGCACCTGGCATCCTCGCTGATTACCCCTGGCATGAATTCGGCTCCCGGACAGTGTTAGATGTCGGCGGTGGTGGTGGTGGATTCCTAGTGTCCCTGCTTCGTGAATATCCTGACCTGAAGGGGGCGATCCTGGATCTTCCTCGCACCATTGAGCATGCCACTACTCTCTTCCACAACTCCGATGGTGCCTACTATGACCTCAGAGAGCGTGTTCCCTGCGAGAACCTCATCGGAGGTGATTTCCTCAAGTCCGTACCCTCGTTTGAAGTGTATACCATGAAATGGGTTCTTCACGACTGGAAGGATCCGGACGTAATTACCATTCTACGCTGCATTCGTGCTGCTCTGATTCCTGGCCCAGACAGCCGTTTGGTTGTTTTGGAATCAATCCTGTCCGATGGCCAATACGGACGTCTCTCTAGATACGGCGATATCAACATGATGATGACGGCCAATGGACAGGAACGCACCGAGGAGCAATGGCAGGAACTTGCTGCAGCTTCAGGATGGGAAATTTCCAAGATCTATCCCCTACGACGGTCCTGGGTTTTTGCTATTGATCTCCGGCCAAGGGCCGACTGGAAGGCATAGACTGCATGACTCCGGTGGCCGAGGGGATAGGGATATCTCGGGCAGTATTAGTCGAACTGGTATATAGATCAGGTATATAAACCGTGTATGAATTCACCCGATATTTTTCATTTCACTCTTCTAAATCTCGGTATCTATCTAAACAATACCTTATTATATTCAGCATGGCTACCACTAATGGAGAAGTCGTAATGGGTGATATGGACTACGATGGCCGGGTTATCATCTACATTATCAAAGGTGAATTTCTTTCCTTCTATATCCCTGAGCCTATGCTTACGCCTGGGGCCGTTCTATAGCCGACCAAACTTCTTATATCAACTACATGAAGCCCCTGATTCTGGCAGAAGAGCTGCAGTTCCCGCATGTCCTTTCTGTCATCGATACCCGCGATGAATGGTTCTACAGCATCCATCCAGAGAGATACGTTCCCAGTCTCAAGGACGAAGATCCAGCCACCAAGGAGAAGGTCATTGTCTTTGAAAGCACTGCTTGTCTGCAGTACTTAACCGATCGTTTCGACACCGATGGTTTCTGGACTGGTCGCACCGCTGCTGAAAAGGGGGCCATCTTATCGTGGACCGCATATCAGACAGCCGCCCTAGGGTATGCTCCTATCACCACGGCTATCATTATTTCTATCATTCCGACAACTAATAACGTCGCAGTCCCACGGCCAAGTACTGGCTTTACTTCAAGAAAGGATATCCCACCAGGGCTAATCCAATTGAACTCCCCCGTACAATTGAGAAGTGAGTCTGCATAGTTCAACTATTTATCTGCTTTCAGCGGCTGACTTTCACAGGCTGCATGCAAATACCGTTCGACAGTGGGATATCTTGGAAAAGAGGCTAAAAGAGCCGGGTCAGGACTACATCGCTCTGAAAGACCGCCCAACTGTAGCAGATTTGTCCTATTTCCCGTTTGCGATGCCTTGGATGTTCAGCTTCTTTGGCGTAGACGTCAAGGACTGGCCACATATTCAACGCTGGGGAGAGCGGATGCTGAGCAGGCCTGCAATTAAACGAGTCTTGGAGCGTGCTCCTACCTTGGGACATTGAATTTAAAGATGTAACTAGAAGAATTTCATGGATGATCTTGGAATACTAGTGGAATTTATCATCATAAGGAGTATTCAAGTTGTTGCATTCAATTCTTATAGAAACATACGGAAACATCGTGTTTGTATACAATCTAAGTGGATAGGTTCTCCCGCCTTACACACTTAAGCTGCATATCCGGGAGCGTAATCCAAGACTCTAGGTCTCTTTTCCATTTCCCATCATCCTTAGTCGATGACTCTAGCCAGCCAAGTTCGTAGTTGATTGCTAGATGTGCTAGAAGGGTCCGAATAACTAGGTCTGCCACATACCGGCCCATACACTGCCGTGGACCAAATCCAAAACGCCAGTACTGGTATCGTAGCTCGGTAGCACGGCGCTCCAGGAAGCGGTCTGGCCGGTATGACTTGCGGTCTTCACCCCAAAACTCGTTGCGGATATTTAGAGCGTACGTGTCAACAACAATATTCGTTCCAGCGGGGATGCAATATCCTCCAACCGTACGATCAGTAGGAGGGGACTGTGCAACTGTGAATGCAGCCAGTGGCTTGAGGCGAGCTGATTCAGATACACAGGCTGCGAGCAAGGTCGACGACGAAGCAAGGTACGCATCGCGGTTCTCAGTGGCTAGTATTTCAGCTCGAACCCTTTCCTGGATCTCTGGATGGCTAGCTAGGAAGACGAGATTCCAGGAAATGCCACCAGTTGTCACGTCCAAATTGGCAAAGAGGGCTTCATCAATTGTCTGGTACAGCTGCTCCAGTGAGATGGAACCGGCACTAGCAGCTTCAGTCATAGACACAATGGGAAGACCGCGGTTGCTTTCTCTGCATGCTCTCTCATAAGCATTTTGGTTGAAAGCCCTCCAGCGCTGCTTGAATTGGGCAAGTTCTCTATTTGTTGCAGTAGGCAAGTATCGAGACCAGTTCCAGCGCACAAGGCCGCCCTGTATCATCTTCTTCCATAGCCGCTCACGGATGACACATAGTTCCTGTAGTTCAGTTCGCATAGCAGCGTCGCATTCCCCGTAGAATATCTCAGCCACAATCCAAAATGGGAGCATCTTCAGGTCCTGGGCTGGCTGGATGCGTCCATATTTCAAATCACCGGAAGTGCTCAGTTCATCAAAGTGCTGCTGCGTATGGCGTAAAACCAAGTCCACATAAGAACCAGTCTTATCATGCTGGAACGGGACTTCCGTCACAGCGCGGAGGGCTTTCCATCGATCACGGCTAATTAGTCCAACACACTGGCCGAGGAGCTCGCTCATAAGATAGCCTGAATTGTTGTTTTCCGCCTTGGAGTGTTTGTTGGAGTCCCTGAAGACAGCTTGAAGCTGATGTGGCTGAGTGAGGACGCTGTTTAGAGTCAGTGAATAGGTAGGTAGTATATATGGCCAGACGATCCCGCGAGTACATACACTTCCGATTGCATGCCTGACCAGATTCGATAGATCTCTCCATGCTCCTTTTCCCACAAATCGCAGTTCTCAATACCTTGGAGGAACTTGGCGACATCTCCTTGACCATTAGGCCATTGGTAGGGGCAAGTGGGAAGGAGACGTTTGCCGTCCGTGGACAGGATGGGGTAGCGCCAACGAAGATATTTCTGCGTAGAATATTAGAATCTCTGAATATCCTAACATGCTAGAAGATACTTACGTCCAGAAACACGGACAAGACTCCAGCTGCAAAATTCGGAGTCAGTGGTGATGTGATGAAAAAGATCACACCAGCCGCGACAGCGAGAATCGGCAAGGCAGCGTCTGTAGTAAGGAAACCCATCATGTTTGCAAAGCGGATTTTGATTAACTATGGCACTGTGGTCAAAGTAACAGCGCCTCGCTCCCAACTATAGGCGATCGTGGAGAGGCTGGTTTTGATTCCCCGGAGGCCGTAACAATGGCATCGGCCACCGTAAGCCCACGGCCATGTTGGCTTGTAACACCGCAACCGGAAGAGCGATTGTTCGCATATATATGCCGTCGTGCGATAGTTAGTTGAGAATGTTAAGCACAAAGACTCTGCCTACATCAATAATGGACGAAAAGGTTGATATCGAGCGGTTGGCTCTTCGCTCAGGCCTGGTGGTTGGTGGTAGAAGCCGGAAGCGACAGATAACGTACGCCTCGCTGGTAGCGTTTGCTTTATTATCGGCGGCGTCTGTACTCCTACGATCTGGAGCATTCACATGCTCGAGAAACTGCACATCGCATCTGAGTCCCTTGGAGCAGGTGTTGGCGCAGGCTCCATTGACTGGTATGGCAGCAAATCTACCATGGCTCCTTAGACACATCAATCAACTGGGTAAATTGACTGACATGGCTGTTTAGATGGCCACAATGACTTTCCGATATGGACTCGGGCCTATTACCAGAATCATATCTACCAGGCCAACTTCACTAGTCAGGGAGATCTGTATGGCCAAGTCGACTTCCCACGCCTGCAGCAAGGACGGCTGGGTGCCCAATTCTGGAGTGCTTATGTCGAATGGTAAGACGACCCCTGAAGCCCACCCATGGCCCCGAGAGGAGACTGTCTAACATATCGCAGTCCGAGAACTCCATACACCGCTGCTAATGAAAGCGAAGATCTCTACCATGAGATAATCAGAGATAGCTTCCAGCAAATTGACCTGGTGCACCGTATGATCGAGCATTTCCCGGCACGTCTGGTCCCTGCATCATCGGCAGCCGATATCGTGCACAACTTCCGTACCTCTCCAGGAAGGATTTCCAGCCTTCTCGGTATTGAGGGACTGCACCAAATCGGCACCAGTGCCAGCGTCCTGCGCATGTATCACCGGCTCGGTGTGCGATATGCAACTCTCACGCATACATGCCACAACCACTACGCTGACAGCGAGGCCCCCTCTAAACCCCAGCATAATGGCCTCTCACCCGCCGGAGAAGCAATTGTTGCTGAGATGAATCGGCTGGGGATGATCGTGGATATCTCGCACACAAGCTTCGCGACTCAGCGTGCTGTGCTGGCTCTCTCTCGGGCACCGGTCATGTACTCGCACTCGTCCGCCTACGCCGTATGCCCGCACTCGCGCAACGTACCAGACGACATCCTCAAGACCCTTCAGAAGAACGATGGAATCATAATGATAACTTTCTATCCCGAGTTCACCAACTGCGAGAGTGCGGACAAAGCCTCTCTGTCTGACGTTGCTGACCACATCCAGTACGTGGGCAACCTGATCGGTTACCGCCACGTCGGCTTAGGAAGCGATTTCGATGGAATGGCTCATGGGATGCGAGGGCTGGAAGATGTCTCAAAGTACCCTGACCTTATCCAGGAATTGCTTGATCGTGGCGTTGGTGTTGGTGACTTGGTCGGTGTCATCGGCGGCAATGTTTTTCGCGTTTTGGCGGCAGTCGAGGATGTAGCTCGCAACTCCAGGCATATCCTGGCCCTAGAGGATGATATCAAGCCTTTCTTCAAGTAATTCATGAAATCCAACTCAATGTCTACCATTTTTCATAATTACTTCAATAACCTTGATGGATGTTTTGTTTCTTCCGCCGCAGAATTTGTAACTAAAAGAATTCTAAACTCAAAATCTTAAATATTTACTCGTGCTCAGGGGTAACTACTTAACAAACAGTGGCGCTTCATAGCTGACAGAAATAAGTTATAACTCGGGGATTAATAAATTATCACCGTTTAAGTATTCGCTAGCTACTCACCTTTGGACAAGTGAGATGCCGATTAGAAAGAAACTCATAAATATTGAATTAAACTACAATAATGCAGGACTATCAAGAGCCCATTCACGACTCCTAAAGGCAGACGGGAGGCGCTGGAGGATGGAAATTTGTGCATGTTTGGCTGCAGCATGCACCAGGATTGCCCAAATCACATTGACCACCAGATGGTGTACATACACATTGGCCGCCCTGGCAGGGATGGCCACCACCGCACTTAAAATCAACCCTGTTAGCACCGCAAAAGAGTGTGATATAGTGGAGGACACCACCTACCGACAGTCCACATCTACCACAGTTAAAAGGATCAGTCTGGGTATTCGTGCATGTCCCAGAGCAGAATGTAGTTCCTTGAGGACATACACATTGTCCATCCTGGCATATCTTCGGGCTAGGACACTGTTTATACGAAATATTTAGTTAATAGAACAGTAGAAAGCAGGAATTTGGGGATAGAAACAAAAGCAGGCGTACAATTATTCCACAAGCACCACAGTGGGAGTTATCAATTTGTAAACTTCTACATGCCCCGGCACAAAGGGTTGTACCGGGTGGGCATTCACATTTTCCGTTTTGGCAGGTTCGCCCGTCTCCACACTACACGCCGTTAGTTATTGACCTTTAGCACGGTAAGCATTTTAAAGAAAATATAACATACCACAGCTCCACAAGTGCCACAGTTATTATTATCATTCAGTAAATTTTTGCAAGTCCCAGAGCAAAGAGTCGAGCCAGGTGGGCATTCACACTGGCCATTTTGGCAAGTTTGTCCGGGGGCACACTATATCATTGAGATTGTTACTTACCGATTAAGGGTAATGGTCCAAGGGTGGAGTGCTCTCTGTCTAGACTTACCGCTTTCCCACACGTTCCACAGTTAGCAATATCAGTCTGCAAATTCTTGCAGTTCCCAGAACAACCGGTTGATCCAGAAGGACAAGCGCACACCCCGTCCACACATGTTTGGCCATTGCCACACTATAGTCGATTAGTAGCCATTTAAATGATAGAAATAGAAGACGTACTGCTTTTCCACAGGCACCACAGTTAAGATTATCACTCTTCAGGTTTTTGCAGGCGCCAGAGCAATTGACAGACCCAGCTGGGCACACACAACGGCCGTCATCGCAGATATTGCCATTACTGCACTATGATAACCAGGGAAGTTAGATATTGTACGTGAATGTTCAAACTCAGCTGGAGTCATACCGCCTTGCCACAGCCACCACAGTTTTCACTATCCTTCCTGAGATTTTTGCAAGTTCCGGAGCAACTAGTAGACCCCCCGGGGCAAACACATCTGCCTCCATGACAAGCCTTCCCGCTGCCGCACTGTCGTCTCGAAAATTAGCATCAAATCCCAGAAAATTCAAGTAGAACTTACCGAAGCACCACAGGCACCACAGTTGTTTTCGTCGTTCCACAGAATTTTGCACGATCCGGAACAGTCGATCTGCCCGGGAGGACATATGCATTTCCCACCAAAGCAAATTTTTCCCTTACCGCACTATACGCGTGGATGTCAGCAAACATGATAGCAATCAGATATAAATTGGAAAGCCCACCGCTGTTCCACAAGCACCACAGTTTTCGTTGTCACTTCTCAAGTTCTTGCATGTACCTGAGCAAATGGCTGATCCAGCTGGACAAACACAGCGTCCACCCAGACACGATTTCCCATTTCCACACTATCAGGTGAGAGTTAGGTATAAGTATCCGTGCATATAGTGGATAAGAAACATGCATACCGTGATTCCACAGCCACCACAGTGCTGGTTACCAATTAGAACGCAATTCTTGTTGCACAGCAACTTGGAAAGAGGCTGTGTCGCCGCAGGGCCACATTCGTAGCAAGGCCCTTTACCCTTGGAGGCAAGTGCAATACAGCCAACGCTGAGAGGACCAAAACTGGCTACGCACCACTTCTCACAATGGTTATGGCTTTTATCCTCAGGGTGAGCAGCAGCAATCGAAATCCCCGTTGCTGTAGTTAAAAAAGTATAAGCAGCTTCTCAAATGACAGACGGTAATGCCTTCGAAGGCTAGAATACGGTTGTTAGGTTCACCCACCGAGGAATAAAAGGTTAATCAAACGCATTTTCCACAAGTTTGAGAAATATCCTGTATAGTAAAGGGGTATTCCAAGAGGATATTTCAAAATGATTGTATGAAACGATCGGGTTGAAAGGAAGAGATCAGGGTATTTATCTACTGTCTTGACAAAAGACAGAGATACCTGGTTTGACCGGCTCCAAGCATAGAATTGGCCATTGGCTCTTCTACTTCGTTCTTTGCTAGGATAGCAAAGATCAACCCCTTTTTCTTCCAGATATGGCTGTAGTGCCGTATGTCACTGCATGATTATAGGCCAAAATGCAATATTTTCCCACGTCGCAAGCCCAGCTGAGAGGTATCAAGCTTCGCTCCACGTTGTAGCTTGGGTCGCAGAGCTGGTGGCGCTTCTTTGCCAAATAGCCGCTGCGTATAAGCGATCCCCAACAAGCCCAGGAGGACTGATATAGTTATCCATGCTGCTGGGTCTTCATGCGGCCAGAGCCGAAGGCTGCCTGCGGGGCTCGACTAACCAGCACCCGCTCTCACATTGTCCAGATGACGGTGGAGCGTCCAAGGCCATGCATCCTGGTGGATAGCTTCCTGGACTCTTTGGCTCGAAACTTGCCACTTGGCCGCTCGGCTTCAAGATATATCAAGCGAGCCAAACTCGACGCTGACTCGGGAATTTAGCCGAATGGTGGTCACGTGGTGATTGGTTTCTTGGCTCGTTGGGGCCTAAAAGGGAAAAAGCGACGACAACGAACGAACAACAAGACAACGTTCTTTTTGAGCTAACTAAAAATCTACACGACACCTGCAGCAAGCTACCAAGAAGACAAAGGAAGAGGCGAAAAAAAAAGGCAGGTTAGGACGCTACAAAAGAAAATAAGTAACTCTCTCCCCCGATGGCAAAAGCCCGGTGCCCAGGCTCAAAGCGAACCGAAGGACAGACTAGATACTAGAGAAAGGAAGCCCAAACATCGCGTCTGGTTGCAGCACTTTGACGACAGGAGCATCATGCAAGTTGGCTATCCTTTGTCGGATGACGGGATAGGGGACTCCCCGGGCCAAAAGGGCGATTGCAAGCGGGATTCGTGTCTGCAAGAGATGTATATCACCTAGTGAAAAGCAGTCCGTGTCATACTCCATCCGCAGCATCAGTTTATCCTCTGATACAGCACTGAACTCACAGAGTAGTCGGAATTTGGCTCCGTCGGTAAAGGTGTAACATGTCTCGAACCCTGGCGCGGAGATTTCTAGCCCATTCGAATGGTCCCGGCCATGGAACGTAACGATGGTCTCGAACAACGGATGATCAGGGGCTAACGTGCGCACCTGGAGATGCTCTAACAGCTGATCCCAGTGAATTGAATGGCCCACTGACTCTTGCACTGATTGTTGTACTGCTTTGAGGTATGACTCTGCCTTGTCGGTACTTCCATCAGCCGTATATCTAATACGGATTGGTAATGGCTCCAAGAAGAGTCCAACCACATCTAGCTCATCACGCGATTTCCTGTTGATATACGGAATACCCAAGACGATGTCAGTTGAATTTATGGCATCAGGAGCTGTAGTAGGCCTTTCCAAGCATAGTGCCACTGCGGCAATTGCCAGCTGCTGGCCTGTAATGGACGATCGACTGATGAGGCTCTCCATTTCTTGATATGTCGCTGAAGGCACTTCACAGAAGGCAGACTTTCCACGATACCCGCGCCTACGCCCCTCGTGTCCTAGTAAATCTGATGTTGGTGGAAGTTGGCCCAGTGTTTCTGACCAGAAAGTTAGGTCACAGTCGGTAGGTACACTCCCCCAGGTCGTGGTGTTCATATAAGTCATTGAGACTGGAAGCAGAGGTTGCCCATGGTATCTTTGAGATATCTCTCTCAGCAACGTCTGAAGTGTTGTCAAATCGGCAACAATATGGCTAACGGTTAAGATAAATTGGGACTTAGAAATCACAACCCTAATGGGAGCTGTCTTTGCCAATGCAAACGGCCGATTAATCTCTATCCATGGGTTGATGGTGCTATTGACCAGCCGCACTCGGGGCGGTAGTGGACTGTACTGCCGTACCGCGGATCCTGCTGCCCGGGAGTATATATAGCGCGATCGCAGAATCCGGTGGCGAGCCATCACATCGTTGCAAGCATCGGCTAGACGCACTCGATTAACGATCTTGCTATCCATCTTAGCAATAAAGTTGACATTGAAGCTGGATGTACACTCGTTCACTTGGCACTTATGCCACCATTCTAACTCCATTGGAGATAGCTTTGATTCCCCAAGAACCATTTCGTCTCGCCTGAGGAGCTGCAGTGCAGGGCCATTTTTTTCGATAGCCTCTGCCAGCTGTTCAATGCGATCGTGCTGCACTACTAGGCGGAGCGGAATCTGTTGGCCTAGAACCTGACTTATGCGAATTTTGAGCTGCAGCTGCAGAAGCGAATGCCCACCTAGCTCGTGAAAGCTGGAATGTGTGTTGAGTGAAACCTGAGGCTCTAGTCGGAGAACGTAACGAAATGCCTCGCCGATTAACTCCTCCAGGCACCCTCGTAACGGTCGTCCTGTGGGTGCAGCAGTCTGCAGGCTCATCTTCGCCAGGGCTATGTAGTCCCGCTTGCCCGCCTTAGTGGTTGGAAATTCGCTCAAGGCAAATATTTTGCGAGGGTTTGCATAAGGAGGAAGAACCTGTGCTATTCTCGCTGCAAAAGCTCTCACATCAGCTGTGGATGGAAGAATAGCCGCAACAAGGCGGTTGCCCTGCCTAGCCACAGCCACAGCCGTCACGTCCGATGAGGCACGAACCATTCGAGTTTCCAGGTCGTCTAAGTCAAGGCGGAATCCTCTGAGTTTAATCTGACGGTCGTTCCTGCCTAAGCAAACAACTTCGCCATTGCTAGACCAGTATCCTCGGTCTCCTGTTTTGTACATTCGTTCTCCAATGCGGCGTATGGGATCAGCAATGAATCGTTCCTCAGTCTCCTTAGGCATTCCAATATAATGGCGAGCAACCTGCACACCAGCGATGTATATCTCGCCAATCACGCCAGGGGGAACTAGTTCACGATGTCGATTCATGATATATAACCGCGTGGAGGGGTTTGGAGGCCCGATTGTCACCGTTTGACTCGGATACAAGCGTTTTATGGTTGCTCCGCATGTGCCCTCAGTCGGCCCATACATGTTATAAAGTGCTTTCTCCTGGGACCAACGATCACATACGGCCTGTGGAACCGGCTCCCCTACGAGGTAAACCTAGATAAACACATTCATTAGAAAACTTTGGTTTCGGATACGGAGATAATTTGAAAATACAACTTACGGAACTCAATCTATCATAGTGTGCGGGGTTCAAGACACGCGCCATTGAAGGGGTCAAGATGGCTGAATCGACATCGTTCAGATGTGCAAAAGGATCCCCCCCACTTTGCAAAACGAGGGTAGCGCCGTAACTAAGTGTGGAGAATATTTCATGGATGCTGCCGTCAAAAGCTACCGACATTATCTGAGCGACGCGGTGCCCTGGCTGTGCGAATAGCCGCACTTCCAGATCCCGTTGGAATGCCACAAGTCCTTCATGGCTGCACATCACTCCCTTGGGCTTTCCAGTAGAGCCTGAGGTGAAGCATAGATAGGCATTAGCTTCTGGGTGAGGCGAACGGCGACGAGGTAGAGGGATCTCGTCCCTGGTTACCAATTCATCGATAACGAGCAAAGTTTTGCAAACTGCTGGACAAACTCCCTTGTTGGTCTCTGAGGGAATAAGAAATACGTTTGCTCCGGAAGCTGAAAATATGATATCTCGAGCTTCCTGCGGAAGTCCGCCATCTACTGCGCAATAGACACCGCCAGCCTTGAGGATTCCCATCATCCCAACTATCCAGTTCGACGACCGGTCTGCATGGGCACAGACCACATCACCCGGAGATAAATATTCTTTCAATATGCTTGCTACACGGCTGGCCTGTGAATCAAACTGCCCATACGTCATCTTGAAGCTACCCTTCTGGATGGCGATTGCCTCAGGGTCCTTGGATGCTGCTGACTCGAATAATGTTACCAAGTCGTCTCGCACTGCCATAGTGGTTGTGAGGGTGGAGTGGCAGTTTCCAAAGTTCATCAGTGTCTCGAGATCAACGCATCCCAGAAGTCCTTGCAGACACTCTTCTATCGACCGGTGTGGTCTTAAAAGGAGCTGCATTGCGCGTTGGTAGTGACGTCCAACACCCTCTACATCCCGACAGCTATATTTTGAGGTGTGATAAACAAATCTTGCTCCGCCATTTGGTTGCACGTTGATACTAAGCGGTACATCTGTCGTCTGACGTGTGTAGGGAGCTTCTATTGGTAGTATTCCACCTGGACATTCCGGTTCCGGTACTTGTAAAGCCATTGCAGTTGCGAAGTTTCGGGTATAGCCATTGTCAGGTGTGGTCCATTGGTACTCGGCCAACTCCATTATCTGGGTAAAGACTGCCTTCAGGAACCGTTCAGCAGATAAATCTCGGTCAACCTTGACACAGAGCGGTAATGTGTTGACCAGCGGACCTATTACTTCATCAACCCCTTCTAGCGGGAGGTTTCTCCCCGCCAGTACCGCTCCAAAAACGACGCTGTCTGAGTCAGAATAACAGCTTAGGACAACTGCCCATGCTGCATAGTAGAATGCGGCTGGTGTGATACCCAGGTTTCTGACAAGCCCCTGCAGTTGTGTTCCCGGGATATTACTTATGACATGAATCTCTTCGCTCTCTATGACAGAACAAGAAGTATCTTCTTGACTTGGAGGCGCTGGAAGCAACAAGCCTCCTTGTGATTGTTCAAGCTGAGGAGCTTGTTTTTTCCAGTATGCATCTCCTTCCTCCTTGTGCTGTTGACGCCATAATCCAATCTGTCTATCAACCTGTTTGAAAGATGGACCAGGTCTTGCGCGGGTAGATAATCCTGCAACAATGCGGCGGACTTTACAGAATAAAAGCATGGCTGAGTAACCATCAATGAGTGCATGGTGAACCGCCCAAATTATTGTGCTCTTGCTAGATGCGGAGTCTCTTCCTGGAAAGTGAACCACTTTAAATGAAGATGAGAGCGATGAGGGAAGGCCCATGGTTTGCAAGTGTTTCTGATATTCCAATTCTGAATCCACTGTGACCTCTGTCCAGGAAAACTGGCCCTGACCCAGAATATCCGGTTCACCGCCTATGGCTTGTAACTGGAAAATTGGCTCCACTTCGATCACCGACCTCCATGCGTCCTTCATCTGTGGGATCATGCTTGCAAGAAACGTTTCATAGTGATAAATGATATTGGTCCCAGGGTTTTTCAGCGAACCGTGAAGGAGAGAGGCTTGCATTTCACTGAGACCTTCCGTGGCATGTTCGTCGAGGGTTGGCTCTTGCAGTGTCAGAGCAGTGTTGATAATGTTGTCCTTTCCCTTCTCTGCTAACGTCTCTTCTGCCGGCACCGGAGTCGTAGCTCGTGGGGATGACTCGATGGAAGACAGTGATGCTGGTGAATCATCTTCGCTATCGTCGGAGAAGCATGGGGTTCTCAGTTGATGGTAATCAGGTTTAGAAGCCGGTTTTAATTGCCCCAATAGGTCGTTCAAGTTATTGCACGAAAGAACCTGGGCCACGGATAACGATACCCCGTACTTCCGACAGCGTGTTACCAGCTCAACAGCATTGAGAGAATTTCCTCCATTCTTGATAAATCCTGATCCAAGCTCCAGGTCTTCAGTGCCAACCTCCAGGACTGCTGCCATCTGCTCCAACAGCAATTGTGAAAATAGGCTCATCACGATTAACGATATTTCTGGAATGTTTGACTGCAGGCCACAGATGGTACCATTTGTCTGCCATATATAGGCAAAACTTGGCCACCTCCTTACTCAACGTGGTGTCCTAATTCCGCAGGATTATCCAGAATAGTCGCTCGGTAGCCGATGTTTACGCGGCTCACACACCGGGCCTCTTAATGAGTAGTCAAGGGGCGGGGGCTTAACAAAGAGCTGACCCTATTATTCATTTATATACCAGTACTCTGTATGATGACGCCCCATTGCTTCCGTTACACGTCAGTATCTAAATGTGTCCATTACGCATAGAAGCAAGATTCTTTGATGTTGTCAAACAGAATATGAGGCTTCCTTACTAAAAGCGGCCTACACAACCAAAATCGTTATCTATGGAGTATCAAGGGCACCACCTAGGTTGAATCCTACCGGGTAAGTTTTTTTTTTATTGAAATCTCTTACAATTGCCTACGATTTGCAGTAAGTTTCTCGGTGTTTGTTGGGTTTAAAGCAATGGTACAAGCCCCGATATTAGTCCATTACTTGTTGACCGGAAGGATTTCCGTATGAACATTTCCACAATCCTGCTAACCCTTCTATAGCTAAGTTCGAACCACCTTCTCTTCCGGCTTAATCTTCGGTCACCGTGAATATACAGAATAAACTGTCGCTTGCTAACGAAGCACCCCATTTTGCACACATTGCCTGAATGAAAATGAGAGGCACACTGTTAACGCTATTGCAAATTTGCATCCCTTCTATTTGCAGACTTCGTTTGATATTTTATGTAACAACATATATACAGTCTGTTTTGGATCTAAACACAAATATGGGGGCCATCTATCTAAACCTTTTCAGCCCCATTTCCGGAACTCTGGGCGGAATTCCCGTCGCTATCATCGCCCCTTTCTAATGGGCTAACTCCTAGCTTTGCCGCTTCTGATGGCGTAAACGTTCCAAAAATATCATCTTTATCAATATCTCCAATTCCCGGTGGTGGAAATACCATATTAATGACAGTGTGAACTGCCATTGATGCCAAAAGCCCGTAGGGGAAGCCGAGTGCATACAAGCGATCAACTCCGACCGGCATCATGATGGTAGGATTTATGCTATGTATGAATCCTGGAAGCAATGGAACCCATCCTACCAACCAAGGGATGATACTCCTCCAGTTAATACCGGAGGTATAGTAGTATATTCCATCAGGTCTGGAGTGATAGAGGTCTGAGAGTTTGAGACGCCGCTGTCGAACAATCCAGTAATCGCTGATGTGAATTCCACAAAGGGGGGCCATGAAAATTGAGAATGATGATATGACGCTGACAAACGTTTTTGCAGAAGCTAACAATTCCCAGGGGCAGAGTGCCATCCCAAGAATAAGCCCAACATAACAACCGCGTCGGATATTGACATATCTTGGCAGTAACCCGGAGAGATCCATACCAACAGAATACCCTAAATTTGTAATGTCAGAAAGCACCAAGTTTATGATTCGGGCAGAATTTACCGTTATCGACAACTGTTAAAGCCAACTGGGAGCTGACCAGTCCGAGGCCAGCAAAAAAGGCCGCTGCTCGCGACGTCGAGCTATAATCCCTTTGCAACCACATTGCCAGGATGGTAGGAGGGTTCCACAGAGGTTCCCCATATAACTTCTGCGTCGCAGATGATGTCAGGCACCCGAAGAGCGGCATGATAGACCCGATTATGATGAACGTGAACCATTGGCCGAAAACTTGATCGCTAGGCTTTCGCGCAAACCGGGAGAAATCCATCTGGCTAGCTGTATATCAAGTTAGCTTGTTGTGCAGCCAAATCGCGGGAATACACTCTGAGGATTTTACCTACTAAGTGCAATTGAAACCGTCCCTACCACCGTCGTAGTCCCTTGAAGGATGCCAAACCCCAGGGCAGAACTGCCTTGGAGATCTGAAGCTTGGTGAATCAAGTCTCCAGCTCCCTTGGCGTAAGATAAGGACCATATCATGATTCCCAGCAGTGAAGCAAAAGACATTACATTCATCCCTATCATCAGCTTTTCACTCCTTTCGGGCCGACGATAAAGCATCGGGATCGATATAATATTAAATATGGCCCATCCGATTATCTGCTGAGTGGTTACATGTGCGGACTCTGGGAGAGTATTTTGTAAGTTGTTGAATGAAGGAAATATGGCCGCCAGAATGGCCGACACACAAAGGCCGCCAGTGTAGGATTGAAAGGCGAAACCAACGATCGTGAGCCCGATACGTATCACGGTTGGGACGATGGCGCCCTGGGCAATGGGGCGGCAAGTCAGATTAATGCATGAAGTGAAACCGCTAACCTCATCCTACTTACAAAAATACCCCAGATGACCCTTGAATAGACAGGGAATCCAATGTGCCACTCTGCCCCGATATATCCTATCATTACAGCCACGATTGCTGCAATGATTCTCCCCAGTATAACCGCTATCATGGTCTGCCATACGGAGAGCGAAGATGCAACAAGAGCAGCGCCAAGCTGCCAGTTGGTGAGACTGAACTGCCAAACTGACCACCATCCAACAAAGGTCAAAGTCGACCAAGTGCGACGGGAGGGTGGCAAAGGGCGAATATCGTCATTTATCCACACAGAGACAGCTTCATTGTTCTCAGAGGAAAGTGTCACTGCACGATGGAGGCGGCGTAACATGGTGCCTTGGGATGTTGCTTTCATTATGCTTGAGGCCAGAGAGGGAAGAAAAAAAATGCACTGCCGTGACTTTGAAAAACCTATCGCCAGACCCAAAATCCGACGGGTGGCACAAAAAAATACTCCATTTAGAAAAAGGAAAGGGATTGAATCTATAAACAAAGCAAGAAATAAACGTGGCGAGGTTCGGTGTGAGGCTCATACTCCGTTGCTTCTTCGGTGCCCGAAGATCCTGGCCGGTGACTCGACGGCAACCAAAACCATACGCAGTCCGATAACTATTATAGACAGCCCAAATGCCATGTTAGTTACTAAAGAGGATCCGTTGGTCAACATAGTTTTTCTAGAAATCTTGTGGAACATACATCGCTCACAATGACAGGTCGTATCCGTCTCGGAATCGTTGGTCTGTCGGCAGATCCCAGTCATTGCACCAATTTCATCCATAAACTACCCCTAACAACGACTTCATTGAGCAAAGACTATGAAATCGTTGCGTTGTCAATGTCTTCGCCAGAGAAGGCCATGGCAGCTGCTGCCGCCCATGGTCTGCCGCGGGAGAAGGGTTACCATAAGGTTGACGACCTAGCCAGAGATCCCGACGTTGACTTAGTTGTTATCTCGGTGAAGGTCCCTCGTCGTGCTGAGCTAGCGATGGCTGCTATTAATGCAGGCAAGGATATATACGTCGAATGGCCCTTTGCATCCAACTTGGCGGAGGCTGAAGCGTTGGCCAAACGAGCTCGCGAGCATCAGATCAAGAGCATGGTCGGCCTTCAAACGAGGCTCGCTCCTCAGGTTCTGAGAGTAAGTTTATAGGCTCTAACATTGGCATTTTTGTACTGGATAGCCCTTTCTAACTGTCAAGGTGACTTTAGATGAAAGAAATAATTCAGACGGGGGCCTTGGGACGGATCTTGGCTACCAACCTGGTGGTGACTGATGACCTTTTCCTAAAGTTCCACGCCGACAAGAGACATTCCCATGATAAAGAAAACGGTAACCTCCCCAATGCAACCGCCAGAGTTCGGTGTGACAAAAGGAATGACAAACTAACAGGTCATTCTCAGGTGCAAACATCGTAACCATTGCCGGTGGCCATCTCATCGACACCATGGTATTCCTCCTTGGCGAGTTTACCACTCTAAATGCCCAAACGAGTATGCAATTTCCGAAACCAGTTCTCAGAGATGCCCAAGGCAACCCAAAGACAGGTCAATTCAATGATGCCCCGGACGCGTTCACCCTCCATGGTAAAATGGGAGACCAAAACATTCCAACGTCAATATGCATGTACTCACATCCACCAACCACTCCGAATTTATTCCAGTGGATTGTTACAGGAGAAAAGGGATCTCTAAAGATGGAAGGCCCCAGTTTGATGATTCATGCTATTCCGCCTTGCTTGTTCGAGACCGATTCCGGGGAGGGGCCAGTTCACTGGAAGGAGATCACCCTGGAAAACACTGCATCCCAAGGAGCAGAGTACCAAGCGTGGCTGGATAACGACAGGCCTCGGATCGTAACACTCGATGATGCTGTGATTCGATATCGCATGATTGACGCCATATTCAGGAGTTCCGAGACTGGAGAGTCTACATCATACAGCTATAAATAGAACTTAGGTAGTATAGACGGTAGATATGTTAGATATGTATGAGGCTCAGAATACATATATTGAACATACGAAAAGCGCTTGGTTTATAACTATTCGTCGAAGCCCTGCGGTACTAGCAGTTGAGACTATGCTACAGCCAGATGTAGTACGAGTTAGGTTAATGCTACCAAGTCATCTTAATTAATTCGAAGGTGCAGAGGAAAGTTCAGGAATAGTTATCTATTTTACTAGCATTGTGAGCAATGAGATGGGTAATTCCAGGACATCACTTGGTGGCCATATCATCTTTGACAGATGGTCTCAGATCAATAGCCGATGGCCAAGCGCCTGGCAACGGAACAATTCTTGCGATCTCCCAGCCGGATGAAGAAGCTAATCTTCTCCAATCCCTTATAGTACGTTCCTGGCCATGTTCAGCAGTAACCATCACATTGATATCCCCTATTCTAGACATCCGACTGCACCTACCATCGGCCAGCACCGATTCCAGAACCACCAGCCGGCTTACTGGACCTTTAATGATGCTTTTATGGATATTTTCAAGAATCTTTCGGGCCTGTTCGTCGTTCCAGTCATGCAAACACCAGCGCATTACATATGCTTCTGCGGGCACCACTTCAGTCAAGAAGTCGCCCGCAATGAGATTTTTGGAAGAGATGCGTGAGCCAACGTCTGCATACTTTCCGGCCGGTGAGTGGAATGCCTCTTGGAGGAAAGGTAGTACCCTAGGTGTATCAAAGACGCCCCCTCGGATATCAGGAAATGCTCGAAGCAGCGCTGCGATGAGGGAGCCATCACCACCTCCAAGATCAATTAGGGTAGTTCCCGCTAGCTCGCCCCATGGATATGCGGAGACCATGCCAGGGGTCTGTGCCATGGCCGTCGCTCCCATACACTCCCGTAGGCGGACCATTGTCCCATTACTCTCGAGAAAGCTGAACATACTTTCATCTGTATCATAATGGATCTGTGCCGGAGAACCTATTCCATATCAGCACAATGAACATTGATGAAATTACTTCGGTCATTTATAGAGTAGTTACTCACGAGCAGCCTCCTCTTCCAGCGACTGGGGAAGTCCCCGTGCCATCTCGTAGAACTCATGGCCACAAACACTAGCCCAGCGGTGCCATTGCGTCCAATGTGATTGTTGCAACATCTCCGATGCCTCGTTGTTTCGCACGGTGTCGGTGGCCGAATCATAGTGAAAAATGCCGTTGTTGGATAGGAGGCGAAGTATTTGGCGAAGCCGATCCGACCGAGCCTTGCTAGCTGTAGCCAGCTGCTCCAATTTCAGAGATCCATCAGAGAGGTGGTCAGCAATCCGCAACTTTACAGCTCCAGCTAGGCATTGGGTATTTTGGTACGCTATTTGTCTGTTTAGTCTTCTGGGGAGTCCCTGGTCGAAGGGGGGTTGAAGCCTTGGCTTACCGAACAAATGATCAGCGAGTGCCAAATGGGCAGGTTCAAGGGTCTGAATGACCTTATTTGCTAAGTCAATGATATTGTTTGCTGATGATGTTACTCTCATATCACCCCCTTGATCAACTTTTCGAAGTGAAGCGAGCAATGCAGCGTTGTCAGGCTGGTCGAATTCCCTGAGTACTGTGCGGAGGGCAGCCTCGATCGTCGTCAGCGACTGCAACATCGTGAATGATAGTATCAAACGGTCACAATATGTTGCTTTGGATAGTAAATAGCGATCGGAAGTATTATGGATAACGCTGTGGACAGGCTCCTTAATTAGAGTAGTCCCCGGAGTCGTTGCCGGCCGCCGCCAGGTGAGCCCGGCAGCCGAGAACATAGTATTTTCGACCTGCACGAGCTGAAGTATAAGCCGACATATTATCATTATCCATTTCTTTGCTTGGTTCTATGGAATATTTTTGAAGGGTATCAGGAGTCATAAGTCGTCTTAGAGCCATGGACAATTCCTGCGACGAACGAGCACCGTTGCTCTCTCAGGCCGAGTCAGACTTCCACCCGCATATTTCACATCCTCAAGAAGATGATACCCAAAATGAGTATATTGTGTCCTATCGAGTTCTACCGATATCATTACTTGCGTCTTTGGGTATGGCAGCCACGATAGCGACAACTATATATGCCTATGCAAATCTGCTATGCGCTAATCCGAAAGCCTGCAAAGATGGCGAGCAAAGTGCATATGCCGCAGTGGTAGCAATCGCCAACGGAATCGCACATACAGTAGCGATCCTAATCTTAGGGCCATTGGAGCATCTAGTGAAGACGCAGCTGAAAGCAGGCCTGGCTTTATGGATCGTATGCCGAGCTGCGAGTGTCCTGTGTTTGGTTATAGGCGGTGATTCCCCCCCCACAACCTCCTCTTACCTTCAAATAGAAAGTAATACGAAAACACTAGAATCGAAGCTGACTGTCTTGCACAAAACCAGTGGCACTTCGAAGCGTTCCAATTGCTGTATCAGGCCGGCTCTTTGAGGGCATCGCATCGGACAATCTTCTTCATTTCAACCTCAACACAATCTATGTGTCTACTGCTTCGCCGTCAGCACCAGAGACATATCGTCTCATTGCGGCATCGTTGGCCTTATATATGGTAGGAACAGCCGTGGGCCCCATGGCTGTTACTGTCTTTCAAAACTATACAGCCAGTTTCACCACAGCACTGGCGATATTTGCTGTGGCTATGGTATATCTGATGGTGTTTGTACCGAAGCCCACTGAAAGGCATCTATCGTCTGGACCAGAAAATGCAGAGTCTATCGAGGAGAGGGTATCAGACAAGTCGAGGTTGATGGTCCTGCTGTCACCATTACAGCCATTCTATGATAACCCGCTGGCCATCCTCTATGGCCTATCGTTGCTGTTGTACACAGCTGTTCAAGGCCATCTTTTCCCTGTGATCATGGTTTTCGCCTCTATCCGTTTTCACTTTGCCAGCCTGGGGAATGGCCTCTTAGTCTCCGTTGCAGCAGCTTGCGCTGCGCTCCAAATACTGCTGAAGGTGTACATCGCGCCGGCAATTGCCAGGCTGTTGGGACGTCAGCCGGCCACTACAAGCGACAATGCCAACAGAAACACGGTTGTAGCAGCTGTCTGTATTCAAGCGACAGCCCTGGTAGCTATGACTCGAGTAACCAGCGCTGTCCAGCTGTATTTGGCGGTCGCAACCTCGGCTGCCGGGCTTGCGGTGCCGGCGTTTTTCAAGAGCCACTTCGTCTCGTTCATGCCGAGCGCCTCCCAAGCCATCTCAGCTCTAACATTCATGGAGAGTATTGGAGGGCTGGCCTCCCCTTTCTTCCTAGGCTCATGGCAGGCTGTTTTCCCGGGTCAAACAGTGTTTTTCTTCGCAGTTGGTCTTTTGGTGGTCTCTTTGTGTCTGTTCCTGACGGCGGAGTTTCTTTTGGTCTCCAAGAATCGTAGCTGGCTACAGAGCAGAAAAGCACTGAACGACTTAACGCCGTGCTAGCCTGTATGGAGTATCCGTGGACATTCACAGCTTTGTATATTCCGCTGCTGCCTTAATAATTTATGGGTTCTGGGGCTTTTTATTTATTTTCGACCCGAGCTCGGAAGTTGACGCTCTCCAGCCGCAGATTCGAGGGCTTTCAATTCCGCGATATCCAACCATTTCTGAATTGCTATTCGAGCAGTTGACCAGCATTCATTATAATTGTGGTTGTACTCCGTACAGTGCTCCGTCAGAGCTCTCCTTCGTATGCTGAAACCATTGGCAGTGACCAGGTAGTTAAGTAGACCAAGGCCAAGGCTGTAAATCTCTGTATTGAATAAACCATATATAGTTGCCAGTTTCAAGGGTTAAACTATTGGTAACAATATTGGCTAATCGAAATACGTCGAGTGGCGTCCGAATTGCCCAGAGCAAACAGAAAACATCTCTCAAATGCTGCACTGAGTACCCCGTAGAGTGGCAGATAAGTGGTTTTGGACACTTCAGCAACCCCCTGGCAGGATCTTCTGCATCAAAGCCCACTTAGTTCCCAGTTGCTAACGGTGTGCTAGTTCGTGGTCAGAGCCACCCAGGGAGGAGCATCCTCTCGCGAGAAGAGCCCCTGTTCACACCTGCATATCCCGCAAACATTGGCGTTGAATCCGTATGCAGCCCGGGAGCTTTGTAACTATGTAGAGTGAGCAGGAGGTTTTGTCAAACCCTCCCCTTGCCTGGCCCAATATTACTTCCACAGCATACTCAGCTCCGCGCCCTGTCTCTTGCATATTTGCAACTGGTCGAACACAGCATCCATTCTTGTTCCCTCCCGCCGCTTCGTGTGTATCCCACCTGCAGATTGGGATCAAAGCGCAATATGACGTATTTGGTAGCTCAACACTTGCGATCCGAACATCACCCTGAGCTCGCTTTGCCTTGGAGACGGCAAGTCGGCTACCTCGAGCTACCTCTGGCGCCCGCGAGGCCACTATGCGGTCCTTCGTATCTCGAGGTACTTCGCGGTGGA